GATGGGGGGGGGGGGTGGTGGCGGCGAGTGTCCTCTTGTTAATACGTGTCATCAATCTTGCTTTATTGGCAGGGTGTGGGACTCACCGCCGCCGCCTTTGCTGACAAATGTCTGGCGTACCGCACCGCGTTCCCGGCCTCGTCGTGTAACGTTTCTTTAGTTGAATTACACCCAGAGGCCCTTTTCCGTCTCTCCCGTGTTCCCGGCGCTCCTGCACTCTTCGTTCCCGGTCCCGGTCCCGGTCGCCCGGATCTTTCTCCGGCCACAGCAGCCTCCGGGCTCCCGGCCGCCGCGTTGACCACACTGACCCGGCCGCTCCTCGCCCCCACATCCCCATCCCCAATAGTTAAACACTATTAATCAAAAGGATTCGACCCGCATTCGGTGGCCGAAACGGCGTTTCGGTCGATCGACGATTCTTACATTAACACAATGCCTACATAATAATAATGTCGTGTGTATCGAAAAACGATTTTTTATAATTATCAATATATACAGGGTGATTCGTTAAGGATAAGACAGTAAATTTCTCGGAATATATTAATATTTTTTACGATATTCTTTTCCGAGATTTGTTGGTACGCGCATTGTACTATATTTTTCAATATTTTGAAATTTTTTATCACCAATCCTTGAAGGCCAAAATGGGGGATTTTAGTTTTTTTTAAATGGCAACATATTTTTTTAATTACATACATTTGTAGACGAAAGATAAAAAAACATTATTGCGTTTGAATTTTCATTTATTTGCTCAACAGCTAAGATTTTGTTAAGATACTACATTTTCTCTTAATAATTATCATGTTTCTTCGGTTTTCCAAAACCGGTAGCACATATAGTTCATATTTATGTTCGCATTGTCCATTTGGGTATAACACTCTAACAAAAAAAAAGTCACTGGTATAAAAGACTTTGAAATAATGATAGACAAACGATTCTTATCTACAGATTACCACCTATTCCAACACAGGTACACAGGTTGGTTTTACAAACCCACTTAATCAAATTATTTTTATGCGTGTAATAAAACTACTCGTCTTTGTAGTAACGATTGAAAATATTAAGAAATACAGTCAAAAAATCAAATCTTAATAAAGTCATAACAAATGAACAAATAAATGAAAATTCAAAATTCAAACGCTAAAATATTTTTTTAAATTTTTTGTCTATAAATGTATGTAATTAAAAACATATGTTGCCATTTAAAAAAAACTAAAATCCCCCTTTTTGGCCTTCAAGGGTTGGTGATAAAAAATTCAAATTATTGAAAAATATAGTACAATGTGTACCCAAAAAATCTTGTAAAAAAGTATTGTTCAAAATATTTATATATTCCAAGAAAATGAGTGTCTTATCCTTAATGAATCACTCTGTATATATATTTTTTTTATCAGAAAAATACAGGGTGATCACTGTATCGTGAACCACTCAATATGTCATGAGGTCTTAATTTTTTTCTTGTTTTTACTCCCTTTTGAAACTTAAAATATGGTAACGCATATTAAAAAGCCGTATGTATTACCATTTAAGTTTTAAAAGTTGAAAAAACAATAATTGGTTTTGGAAGGGGGTAAAAACAAACAAAAAAAGTGAAAAACTTATGTCACGTTGTATAAAAACCATATGAAAAAACAACCTTTGTGATATTGAGTGGTTCACGATAAAATGATCACTCTGTATACAATCCGAGGTGACGAATATACGTTGTCGTTTTTATTTTTTAACCGACTCGACAGGTCCTCGAGAAGAAAATTTAAAAAAAAAATACCCACCTTACCTGACCACTTGAACGCTGTGTAAACATTGTGATTTGAAAAAAAAATAATAATGCACATAATATAATATTATATGGTATACCGTTCTGGGCGACCTAGACGTTTTTCAAAGCAATACATTCATATGCGCATAATAATAATAACATATTCGCCTTTGTAATATTATGCATAGAGGTTTTTTATGAAAACTATTTTTATTATTTTCGGTGGTTTAATATAATATTTCACTGACCCTCCTGTCAATATTCTTACGGAATGGTGGTTTTATGTGCACCTGAAATGGTTATGATTAATAATTCGCTTTGGCGGTCTAGAAGTGAATTTTTCAAAAATCTGTAGCCTGACTGTTTTTTTACCAAGCAAAAACGAAAAAAGTGGGAAGGAACAGCAGCTTTACTTTGACCGTATTATCTTTTAACAAATCCGTTACAATCATATTTGATCGGCGTTTAATATTGATGTCATCTACAAATTCACATTGGAGCGTTTCCTCCTTGAAGTCTTAAAACTATACTGCACCGATCTACACGTTATAATATCGAGTTATTTTGTAAAACATAATATTAAATAAAAGTACAATTTTCAAAGTGCATAAAATATAATGATGAATGATACCTAACACTATAATATTATAAAAGTTCATAATACAATAATAAAATGACAAACAATAATATAGTGTGTTTAGGATAAGAGATTTAAGTGCATACAATATAACCGTGTATTTTGAAAACTCAATAATTATTTATTTTTCTAAATGTCTGTAAGATGTGCAATGTTAATGTTTTACAGGTGCAATTAGATTCATATTTTATTATTCTATTAAAAGCCATTGAGTATTTAAAAATGCTTCATATTTCTGCTTTTCTTGACGTTGTTTAACAGCGTTATTATAATCCTGTGCATTGTTACCACCAGTTGCCATGTCCTTTATATAAACAAAAAATAAAGGAAATTGTCATTATAATTATATAATAAATCAATTATATCATGTACATGTTGTTTGTTCTGCGATGACTATTTAAAAAAATATATTATAATATTGTGTATAGCAAATAAATAAATAAATAATACAATTTTTATTGAAAACTAGATTATGGACAAATTTTTATCTCATAACAAATGTAAGATGCCACCTGTGTATTATAGGGTAGGCAATTATTAAGATACAAATCACTTTGTCAAGATACAAATAACTTTATGAATACTGATTACATAACCAAGTATTGATTAGTTGTTTTAAAGACGCCTTAAATTTTCTTCTATTGTCTTACAATTATACTACATCTTGACTCACACTGTTTCTACTTTTTGGCATATTAATGATCTGTATGAGATAATCTTTAATTGCATAATACAGTGTATAATAAACATACTACATGTTTATGTTTGTTTTTAGACACTAAATACTAAATCAAGCCTTAAATATTGCATTTAAAGGACTAGGCACATCGTTTGATTGTATAGTAAAATTAATAAAACAATAGTTCATGTCTATATAGTAATCACTATGTTGGTCTCTATTCTCAATAATACCTTTTTCTTTTTTTTTTGTTTAATAAAACAAACACCAACTGACTTTTAAATATTCATTATATCATAGGTACCTGTCTAACTTTACGTTGCGTATCATCGTTATAATTATCGACTATGGTTAATTCCATTCCCTGACCTGATGATCCAGTTTTGCCATTGGTCGTTTTCATTGCTTCATTTGCATTGGAACCACTAAGTGCCACGTCTTAAACAAATAAACACAAAACAAATGTCGTAGAAAAAGTTTTTTAATGCTTTAAAAGTTGTAAACTTTTATACGTGTCCAATAAATTTGACAATAATGGAATATTAATAGTAATTAAAATATAGCGGATTCGCTGTAAAAGAGCACAAAATAAATAGGTTGTATACAAATTAAAGCAGAATATTTTGCAGCTAAAACCAACAAAATTGGTTAAAGTTGTACTTTTAAACCTGTACTTGTATGGTTTAAGGTAAATAATTATGGTTGGATGTATAAATTTATAGATGGAAGGGTCTGCCAAGGAAATATACCATTGTGTTCTACCTGTGTATGTAAAATTAAGGTACCTTTACAAATATATTTATCACACAGAACGACATACCTGAGTGTAGTATTGTTAACATCACAAAAGCCAAAATCAACACGATTTTTAAACGGTTCATGGTGATTCTAATGTATAAATAATATGAACGATAAAATTTTTATCAAAATGAACAATACCAAGAGTTTACGGTTATAGTTCTAAACAAAAGAATACAACTTTTGTAAAAAATAATACTAAAATCAGCTTTGTTACACAAAAAACACTTCAGTTGTTTTTACAGACTTTGTAAGTGGCTTGTTTGTTTTGTACATGTTTTTTTTAGGTTTGAAAAATACTTCTTAATAATTTTGCGTTCAGGCTGTGCTGGTTTGGATTGTGTTTGGTTTAGACAATTCGTGACCATTAACTGTACTGCGTTTTTTAAAATCTCTAGATTCGCATAGAAACGATAAAATCATATTTAATTTTAATAATAATTTCTTTGATCCAATTTTGCTAACCTAATCTGTACTGGTTTATATTGTTTGAATCGCCATAATAAAATGAACTATCATACGAATTTGACTCCTTTCAATATTAAATGATCCACAAGAATCTAAAACTCTGGATAAAATATACATAGATAAAATAGCATAATGATTTTAATGTGTACCGTGTCTGTAATTTGTACACTTTTTTTATTAAAAATTTAATATATTTTCTAAAACAATCTGTATTGAAATCGCTGTTTAAATTTAATATACATTTTTGTCGTTTAAAAAAGCTAAGAATTTACATTTAAAATTTGTGGCTTAAAATGTATAACATGGTATTTATATTTTAGATTCTACACGAAGCAAAAGAAGTACCGATTTTTAGTAATTCGTTTTTCCTTTTATCGGTTTTTGGGTTTTTACAAATCCACAGATTTTTAGGCTTGTTAAACGTGATAACTTAGTAAATTTTAGTATTGTAAAAAGATAATTTTAGCTTGTGATTCGAGAAAAAGCGGTCTGAAAAAATGCAAATTTCAGTTGTGTATCTAACCCAAAAACATAACCATGTTAAAATGAGCTGATATTGGGCAGTGATACTTGAAAGTAATAAAAAATAACTAACGAACGAAATACAAGAGCAAAATTATATTTTATTAATCAATAAACATGAAATTTGTATGAGACATGCAATATTTTAATAACAGTTGATATTATGAAATCAAATTATCATATCCAAATAAATATTTATTGACGATGTCTTCGACTTCATCCATAGTAAACTTGTAGTCTGAAAGTACAAAATATTTTTTTTTTCTTAACAGCTTTTATTTAAAATATTATAGCTCAACGATTATAATAATAACATAAATAATACAGACTAAAACTAAAACAGAAAAAACAAACTACCTATATACATAATTTCATAGAAGTATAACATAAAATTATTTACTTAAATATGAAACCCAGCATCAAGGATGAATTTGAGGATGTATTGGATGATAGGAACAGAGCGAGAGTTAAGAATATTATAGGAATTAGGGTCATTAATACCCAAAGAGGATAGGAGGTTAAAAAGGATATCTCTATGGGGAGAAAGAGTGGGACAATGAAAAAGGAGATGAGAAAAATCACAAATGGCTGGTAGATCATGCAAGGTACAATGAGGAGAGGAGTTCAAAGAGATGAGAAAAGAGGAAGCGGGAAGAGGGTTGTGTCCAAATCTTAAACGGGAAAAGGAAGAAATTTCTTTACGTGAGAGAATGAGGCCATGAAACCAAGACCTGCGACGGATGATAGGGCAGATAGAGCGATGCCAAGTGGAAAAGTTAGGAGGTAGGGAGGACCATTTGTCCTGCCAAGCTTCCAATGTATTTTTATTTAAACCTGGAAGGAAGTCAGAAAAAGGAGTGGTTAGGCCTTGAGACAATATGAAGGAAGCGGTGGAAGTGGCTAGGGAGTCGGTAGTCTCATTACCAATTATCCCATAGTGCCCTGGAACCCAAAAGAATTGAACGGTTTTGCCAGAGGACTAGATGCGGAACAGAAAAGATCTTATATTAAGAATAAGGGGAGACAATGTAGAGCTGAAGGGATTGGAAGAGAGAGCAAGAAGACAAGCCTGGGAATCTGAGCATATCAGAAAATTATCATAATTATCATAATTGGAGGAGTAAATAAAGATAAATAATGTTACGGACACAGGATAAAAGAGCAGAGTTAAGTTTTTTGGGGTGACAAAACGATGCGGAAGAGTATAGGAAAGACCCATAATCAACTTTGGCTCGGATCACATCGTTAAAAACAAGAAGAAGGGAAGAGGGGTGTGAACCCCAAGAAGTACCACAAATACAACGGAGAAAATTGGACCAGCGTGAAACAAAAGAATTTATATATTGAAAATGTGGGACTCATCTTAACTTGGTGTCCAATTTGATTCCCAAATAGGAAATCGAAACAGAGGGAGGTATGATATGTCCCTTGATAAGAACTGGAGGCAAATTAAGGGGAATGCGTTTTCTAGTAAAGAGAATAAATTTACTTATTTCTGGGGCAGCTAAAAAGAAGGAAGAAAGCAATTCACGAGATAGGATGGAGAGGGAATTGTTGAGCCTGAAAGTAACATCATCAAGATTACTACTGGAAACATATAGAACAATATCATCCGCGTAGAAAAGAGAGGAAAAACCGGGAGTGGATAGGACAAAACTAATGGAACTCCAATAGATGTTGAATAAGATAGGGCTAAGGCAACTACCTTGAGGAAAACCACGGTAAGAGATCCTAGTGTCGGTTAAACCAGAGGGAGAAGAGAAGGTAAGTAACGGTGAAAAAAAAGAGAGGAAATAAAATTGCATAAAGAATGAAGAATATTAAAGGAGGTTAGGCAGAGGATAAGAGTGGGAATGTGGACTGAGTTAAAGGCGCCCCTAATATCCATAAACGCCACTGAAAGAAATTGCTTGCTACAAAAGGATTTATAAACGGAACCTACGAGGGACGAAAGACACTCCATATTACCCAAACCTCTTCTGAAGCCGAAGAAGTTGTTAGGAAGAAGACTATTTTTTTTATATATACCAATCGAGCCGGTTTTTTATTATATACTCAACGATTTTGCAAAGTGTGGAGGAAAGAGCAATTGGGCGGAAGGCTGGAGGAGAAGAGTTAGGCTTAGGGATGGGAATGATATTAAAATGTTACCAGGAATCTGGGGCGAAGTACAAAATATTATTATATATTTTTTAAACGAACGGATCAGGCCAATAATTGTTATTAACAGCAAACGAGTTGAGTATATTGATACGGTAGACTTGTAAAACAGGAATGATAATGTAGTATTAAATTGTAAATTCTAAGTAAAGTTTATCTGATTATTTATTACCTGCTAATGTCGCTTCCAATGGATTACTTAAAGCGAATTCTCCCGTTGTGCCCGTTTCCGCTTTTATTACATCAATTACACGTTTTAACTCTTCGTCGCTTAGGCCATCTGACGTATAGTGTTGCGTGACTATTTCTCTTATAATTGTCTATTTTTATAAGAACAAAAATTATTAGTCATTTAAATTTTCAAATTAAACTGATTCTTCTTTGATAAAATAAAAATGCCTAGCTTACAGATATATATAATATATGGCTTGAGGATTTATTTAGCATAAAAACATCAATTTAATTTTAGTTAGATAATTTTTTTTCCTATTTGAAATAAAATCGTAAAAAAAAAACATTATTTCGTTTAATTTCTCCTGTTCTAGATGAAAAACTGAAAGAAATCATTCAGAAATAGTTCTTTTATTAAGATTGAAAAGTAAATTGTATGAGATTCTAGTGAGACCAGCTATAGGTTATATGGGATCGAAATGTCGGGCAGCAGTCAGGAAAACTGAACAGAAAATCAGTGTGGTGGAGATGATAATGCTAAGATGGATGAGTGGAGTTACTAGGGAGAATGGAATAAGAAATGAATACATAAGAGGGAGTCTAAGAGGTGCACCAATTGTAGGGAAAATTAGAGAGAATAGGTTGTGATTGTTAGGTCATGTTATGAGAAGTGACTAGGCAAAAGCAGTGAGAGTTGTTTTGAAGATGAATGTAGAGGGAAAGAGAGGAAGAGGAAGACCTAAGAATGGATGGACTGATGGTGTAGAAAGTGATATGATGATAGCTGGGGTAAATGAACGACGTGTAGAAAATTAAGCTGTATGATGGTGTAGGACTAAGGGGGCGGACCCAATGTAGTTGGGAGTGTATGGCGAAAATGAAAAATAAAATACAAAAAATACGATAAGCGAATTGGGTAATCAATGTTACTTAACATTAAAAACAATAGTTATTTGTTTACCTTAGTTGGCGGATCATCGGAAGCTATAAATTCTTGGGCGATTTTTTCAACAACATCCATAGGATATTTATAGTCTAAAAGTATAGAATATTATTATACATTTTTTAAATATCCAAAATCACCGGAAAAGGAGTTAAGAGTAATATTGTGTTATACATGCAAAACATTTGTATTATTAATTATTGTAATTTTATAAAAACGATGCGTTACTATATTATACACCGAAGCTAAAACTGATAATGTATCTCACTCTCTTTCTCCACTTTTTTTTGTACACCATTAAAAAAAGGTCCCAAATTTTCAAAATTTTTTACATGGATAATGATTTATGATTTTTTTGTTTAAAAAATTAAATTATCTACAGATATTATGTGAGTGAAACACTTGATGAATATAACATCTTGTCAATAGTTTTTGAAATTTTACTCTTTAGCATCTTACTTGCTGCTTCCCTTTGCAGTTCATGAAAACTAGGGAACTCATTGTATACTCCCGTTTTCTCTTTTACTTCGTCAATTACACGTGCCAATTCTTGGTAGCTTAAGCCATCTGGTTTTTCGTGTTTCTCGAGTATTTCTCTTATCGTTGTCTATTTTTATTGGAATAAGAATAGCCATTAAAATGTTACATAGTAATATAGTTAATTTATTTACTTGCGGATCTTGGAAAGTAAAATTTAAATATCTTATGAGAAAGTGTTCAACTTGGTCCATTGTAAATTTTCTGTCTGAAAGTACAAAATTTTTTCTTACATTTTTTAAATAACTAAAACTGGCAAGTTTTAAACCGCAAAGGAATTCAAAATAATAATGTGTTACACTTGAAAAAATAATTATTTAGTATTAAAAAAAACCGATCATGTATCTTACATTTCGTTAATTTTTTTTTACACACCCAAAAAAATGTTTTCTTTTTTTTATGGTTGTGTTATTTGTCTTTTCTATTTTTCATGAGTTGTGTTTTTTTAGTCAAAAAAAAAAATTAATAATTAGTTACAGTTATACTAATGGCATACACTTGACTGCTAAAATTTCTTTACACTTGTTGTTGAACACTTTTATTATTTATAAGACATTTATTGAATATTATGTTTCTACTGTTTATTACCTTTAAAAACTTCTATCATTTCCCCAAGACTAGTGCCCCTGCAACCCGGCATAGGATATCGTATGAGCTTGCCCAATTTTTCTGCCACGTCATCGATTATTTTTTTTAGACCTACAACGTCAACACTATTGTCTTGATTCTGATATTGGACGAATGCGTTTCTTATCGTTTCCTATTGTTTTCAGAATAAGAATGCAAAATTAAAATGTACATTATAAATTACACGTCATACAACTGAGCCCACTCGAGCGAAATAAAACGGCCAAACTACTACCAGAAATGTGCATAATATGTGCATAGTTATCTTAGTAGTTTAAGCATTTTTTTCTTATTGTTTCCAAAATCTGTTTATGATATTCAATAAAAACCATTTTCAAACAAATTTCTTCGTTAAAAACATTACACAATTTTTTGAAATAATAAATTCATTTTCACTTAAAGTTAATCGATTATCTCAGCAATTATTATTATTTAATTTTTATATCCATAAATACTAAGCGCTAGTCATACTTACAAGATCTCTTGGAAAAGGGATACCACCCTGACAGCGCAAAAAGTACAACGCCACGCAGAAAATCAAAACGGTATTTCTCGAAAACATTTTAGTTTTGAATTGAAGACTACTATAAAACTACTAGGTGTTCCTACCGGCTCTTTAAAAGTTATTGCATAAATGTAATATTATTTGATGGCGTCAAAAAAAAAAAAATTACTCTAATAATTAAAAAAAAACTATGATTTATTACGTTCATTTTTTTTTGCAATACCAAACACTTGTAAAAAAGTTATATTGGATTTTAAAATACTTCGTCCAAATAAAAGGTGCACAAATCAAACAATGTAAACCAACTAAAAATCGTGACGTCTATTGAACAAAATAAAAAAAGTTTTAATGGGCATAGCGAATTTTTTAGCTGTTGAAAATACTTGAAAATCGTTTAGTCACATTTATTCGTGCGTTGTTAGCTGTTGTATATGATTTTTATTAGACAAACTTTTCTGCTATTCACTTTTCCGTTATTTTACAACTACGTTTACTTTAAATACAGAAGGCTCAAGTACATAATATAGTACAGATTGTTTTTGCAATAAACCCAAGACCGAATAAAAAAAAAAAAAACAATGTTTACATTATGTTTACATTGACAGTTTTATAAAATCACTTTTAATAAACGCTTTGATATTTTACTGCGTGCACAGTACATCATGTCATACGAATACCGATGAAAGCATACTTCTCTTGTAATGAAAAAAATTCGCTTAAAATAATAATTGTATTTTTACTAAACTAGTGGATACAATATAACGTTGTGAAAACATCAAGCACAGTATAAACCAACCCAGTAAGAAAGAGGTGATTAAGTCAGGGAAGTGCAGGGTTCACAGATTAAAATACAAATGTCGATAAAATTATTGTACCTAATCACAGTATTATGTGCTTAAAAATTAATTTTTAGTATTAAGGCGCTACGATTAGGGTTAATTGGCCGCCTGTGAAAATATATTGCAATAGTTACCGTTATATGGTATTTATTAGCTGTACATCTAATTGCCAATAAGAATCTTTAAATGATGTGAAACTGTCAACGGCTTATAACAAGATAATACCTGACACTAGTTTTAATCAATTAGCTGTAGTCTATTATACTAGCTATAATATTATTGCTCTTAATTATTATATTTTATTATTATCCACACCTACAAATACGTTAACGTTTTGGCTATATTATAGTTTTTAGTTATCATTCTTTATATGCAGTGAGTACATAAATAGGGGGCTAAAGCACTCGTTTTGGATGAAAGTTACTGAAGCTGCATATGAAAATGGAATGGAACAACCTTTCAGAAATCGAAAAAGAAGTAAAAAATAAGGCATTTTAATCATCTATTAATAATTATCCAACCCTATTGAAACAGTGGTGTATTCAAGGGAAGGACAGAGGGTGCTGTAGCTCTTCCCGTCATTTTAGTAAATATAAATTTTAGGTATTAGTTACATTCAGAGTTGGAACATTATCTTAGATGTTTTTTTTATCTAAATAATTTGTTTATTTGAAAAATGTATTCGAATACCCGTCGATTTCACCACCCCCTCCCCCCATAACGATAATTAACATTATTTTTATACCAATATTTAGTATGTAATTTGTATAAAAAAAATGTTAATTAAATGATTTATTCCAAATTTTTATAACATTTTTTTTTCTTAGGCTGATTATTTGATTTTGACACAATTAGAAAAAAACTTTATCGCTATTATATAAATCATTTTAGATTTTTTCAAATAAAAAAACTATTTGAATAAATCATCTTGTATAGCTTATCGAATAAAGATATTATTCGTTATTCGAATAAAATATGCCCAACTTTGGTTACATTGCCGTACATGAATTTTATAATTTTGATAAACCAAACGTAAGCACTTCCCGGAAAAAAATCTTGGTTACGTCACATAAAAAAAAATAATTTAATAATAATTGTTACCCAAAGCTTAATAAATAAAAAATAATATAGAACAAAATAATATCAAAAGTAAATATTTAAATAGTGTTGAAAAAGGAAGCAAGTAAATTTATTTCTTATACTTTAAATTGTTTTTTTTTAATTTAGAAACAATAGAAATGGAATGATTTTAAATTCTTTTAATGTATTACCTACTTATGATGTGTACAGAAGAAAATTATGTCTACCAGTGGCCTAGCCCCGTGGAGGGGGCAAAAGGGGATCTTGATACTCAACCTTTTTAAAACAATCAATTTTTTTATGTACAAAAATGTGCAATAGCTTGAATTGTATATGCATATTTAATAATATTATTAATGTATATAATTTTAGGTACATTTCATAGATAAAGTGGGTTGCGCTAATGTGTGTTTTGCATAAAATGTATGCACTCAATTTACTAAATAACATTGTATAACCAATATCCAATAGAGTTTAATTACTTTTTTAATTATTTATAATAGTAGTGGTTTTATCCTTGGCACAAAAATCACCCATAATGTATAATGTCATTTTTTAAATCTATTATTTAAAATTTTTAGGACAACTGATAATTTTGAAAATTTGGACGATGATGAGAACTATAGCTCAAATGGTAGTATAGGTAACGGTACCCCGAAGACAGCATATTCATATACTCCAAGTCCAAATCGAGCTAAGAACTACAAAATCGCCAAAATTACGCCATTTCAAAATTATTTATTGGAAGAATTTGGACAAACCAGAATGATAAAAATGTATCCCGTGGTGTTACGGACTCGTACGCAAGCTGTTAAAATATAATAATTATGTAATACTTTTCTTAGAAAAATAACTTTAACATTCTTTAACCTTCTTGTGAACTAACAGATTTCTCGCTATCGTCTTTAATTACCCCACCTTCGTGATTTAAGGCACCGCAAACCACTGCTGAGGTATATTTTGGAGACGGTCAAGGACCGCCTGGACAACCGCTTATCTTTGAAAACTGGTCGTTTTAACACTTATTTAAGTTTAGACATCGAGTTAATAGAATTTTTTTGGCTTCGAGGTTTTTACAACTGAAAAGACGAAAAATAATAACATTACTTAATTTAGCTTATACCATTTGGTCCATGTGGATAGGACGGTGGTCTGATCAGAGTCCGTATGGCGAATAATTATAATAACAATACAATGTTTATTGACTAACTTGGCAATTTTCTGGTAACTACGACCATAGCTGTAAGTAGAGCATCGGGTGGCGAAGTTTCAAATCCACATTGACTCCCATTTTAAGTCATTGTACTAAACGTCCCGTCGATTTGTTAGCTTTTGTTGCGTTCTTACAACGGTTGTATATTTTTCAAGAACGCTTGTTTTTTATTGGCGAAAGCATTACTCAAGCAAATTAATAAGCGCGTATCGGACGGTATGTCTTTAAACATACCAGACCAATTTAGTGCGGGTTTATTTTGTATTTATAATTTATTGAGAAATTTACATAATACAATATGTTAAATTTTTCGTATTTTTACTTGTGTCAAAATTGAAATTTAACCACAAATAATTATTTTAAATCCAGAGAACTCCTTTGTTCCTATCTACTATCTAGCGAAACCACAGCCAAGATCAAGGGACAGCCTCCAGTTAATGGCCCAACAAAATCTTGGCCTTATAGACTCGCATAAAACCCCTAATATTTATAAGATGATATTGATTGATAAATGGTATGTATATAACCTAATGGTATGTTCTGCATAGTAGTTTGTGACTTAATTAAAAATTAAAATAAATTTCTTTATAAATTACTAATTACGTGCAATTAGCTATTATATTTATATGCATCATTCTAATATTAAGGCCTCTGGATACCGACCGTTTTTTTCAGCCAAAACACATCATTTTTTGTCCATCGCACAGGGTGAACCATTGATCCGATGGGCAATCTTAAAACAGATATGAATTTGTCATAAGGTTTACTTGAGATCGATCAGAGCACTTTTTCAATTTTTAATTTTAACCCTTTCCAAATTTGATTTTAAAATGTTATAAAATGTTCAAACGTGTTTTATGCGTAGTAGGAATAAGATATCAAAAAAATACGCTGATCGATCTCAAGTAAACTTCATGACGAATTCAAATCTGTTTTCAGATTACTTATCGGATTACTGGTTCAGCCTGTGCGATGGACAAAAAATGTACTATTATATTAACTAAAATGGCTTTTACTCATAGACAAAATTATTTAAATTAAAAATAATACCACGAGCTCATATAAATTAACCGGTAAATTAATTAACATGGTCGAAATTTAATAAAACCACTTTTTTCTTAAATATTGCCTATACAAAATTCCTTAAAAATGGTCGGTATCCAGGGGCCTTAATAAAGCAATACTTTTGCCGAAACTTTTATTTTTTAAACTAAAACAATTCCTTAAGCAACTATGGCATGTTACAATATTATAGGCATAAGTAATTGTTTAGTTTTAGATATATATATTAACATTCATCTTATTAGGATTAAAAGTGCCTAACACCACTCTAAAAATGAAATGTACATATTTGTTTCAGTTCAGAAGAACTTCTACAACCAACTTGGTACACCGAACAACCTAGGTATAAACGTCATACAAAAGAGTAAGGGGGATATGTATAATTGAAAATTGAGGCTAATTATCGTATACAAGGAAAGCAATTATGTTGTCACATAGAAAAACTCCAATATTGCAATTATTATGGGACTAAACCAGCGTAGGTCATTAAACGAATGACCCGGAATACATTCGTATTAAAAAAAAAATTAATATTGGTGTTTTCAATTACAGGGAGCAAAACTGTTGTAATCCAATGTCACGATGGTTGTGTTAACAATGTTGCAAAAACTTGATTGGCAAACATCATCATCATCAATTTTGTATAATTTATTTCATATTTAATCGACTGAGTGCAATCAATTCTTATAGGATCTACCCTAAGAAATTTCACTGTTAGCATTCAAGAAAAATACATGTATGTTGTAAGTTGTGGCATAATATAGTGACAACAATTGTCGTTCAGTGAAATTATTTTTTGTACATCAAATGTATCTGCAGCTGTTTGTCTAGTATAATTGATTATGTGAGCTGAGCAACCAATTCCTACTAAAATATCTGTTCAATAGACTAAATGTTTAAAACATTTAATATTTAACTTATAAGTTTTTTGGTGTTTCGTTTGGAAGGTTCATAAATTCTAAAATAACAGTTTTCAGTCCTTAATCTGAAAGAAAATATCTAACGAGTATAGGGAAGATATTTTGAAGAATCTATCATTACTGTTATGAAGTTTACATCTTGCAATTCGTTTGTTTATTAGATTTATTAGTTTGACATTTTTTATTAATAATAATAATAATAATAATAATATTCTATAATACGGAATCAACTCCATTTACAAAAATAGTATAATATATATATAATAATAATAAATAGTATAATAATAACAGGTAGTATAATATAATAAATAATGAATAACATATGCTGCAATAATTTAAAAATAATATGCATTTATAAGTCTTAACTAATTATCTATTTGACTTTAAATATGACTTGAGTGTATCAGTATTGACAAAATTAAAAAAATCAATATCGGCTGTTGGAGGTTTCTAGAATTTTTTTTTAAATTTATTTAAGTAGAACAAATCTTTAATTCGGGTATTGATTATAGGCACTTTAAACTGTAAACGCTCGACAAGGAATGGACAATTAATCGTACCAGCAATGAGTTTAAACAAAAATGTTATATTTTGGGTATTCCTTCTATATTGTAGAGAATCCATATTAAAAAAACCAGAAACTCCATTTTAAGCAGAATGGGGTTCTCTTTGGACATGGCATTTAAAGGATAAATACCTTAAAAAGTTATTTTGAATTGATTCTATATCATGAGAATGAGAAATAGAATTATTGAACCAAACAAGTGAAGCGTATTCAAGGCGTGATCTAACTAATGCAAAATAAACTGCTTTAAAGGCATCAGAGCAAAAAAATTCGTAGCAGTTTCTTTTTAAGGGGGAACATCCCAATGAGTTATCGACAAATTCCGTAGGAGCGCGCTGCTATTATCGGTTGCTATAAAAAAATATAAATAATTATATAGGTACGTCGGCAACGTGCGATGGTCTGGTGCGATAAACAACTTACAACAATGTTATCAGTTTACAATAATATTGTCATATACCCATCGGCCGAATTCACGAAACCGTTCAAAATAAAATGCGATCTCGGTAGCTATCTGAAAGCCACGTAAAAACTGGTTTTCAGGTAGCCGCTTCTTATTTTGAACAAGAGTATACAAGATAATAATAATATTATTATTATTTATATTATGAATGATATAAGAATTATTTGTTACTACGTGATTAGGTCCTACTGTGAAGTTTGCTATACTTCAATTTAGATATATTTTGTGTTTTTACCAAAACGTATGTTAAGGCATGTTATATGTCATTACCATTTGCGTCCCTGAAGTGGAACGTGAAAGCGGTAAAAGCGCAGTGTGGTTTTTCTAAAAAATAATGGCAAGCAAAAAACATGGCCAATTATTTAAAAGCTCATTTAAAATTGATGTAGTAATTTTATATGTTGCCTTACAACACAGTAGTCTAGAAAAGTAGTACCAAAAATCGGTCTTTATGATTCTATAATAAACATTATCTATATATATATATATATATATATATATATATATAAATGAGTATATGTCCTTTATGCATACATAAGTACACCATTCATCCGATCGCCATGGAAATGGGGTGGGGTGGGGATGGTATGGGGATGAGGATGGGGTTGGGGGTAGGGGTAAGAGATATGAGATAGGAGATAGGGGGTAGGAGGCGAAATTTATTCGGTAATTCAACGATACATGATAATGCTCTTTCGTGGTTGTAGAATCGGCTGAAAAACTTTTTTATCTTATTTGTAATTATTTTACCCAGCCGTGGCATACTATTATGTATGTATATAGGGTTTTTTAATAAACCCCGGGAAACGCCGGCTCGGGACATATTATATACGACATAAAAGCTGGAATTTTCTTATTATTTACGTTGGTTATCTGAGTAGGTTAGATAATCGTACTGAAAACCAAATAATATTAACTAATTAAATAATGTTATATAACATAAATATTATTTAGATTTTAACTTTTATAGACTCACACAAATGACCAATACATTTTTTTAATGTGCAACTTGAAACTTTACCATCGATATCTTTGTATTTAATTAGGCTCTGAATAAATAGAATTTATAAATAAAAATGGATGATCCTATGTAATTTTTTCTTATGAGTTATGACCCATTTTGTAGGAAAATTAATTCTGTATGAAATGTATTATTACTAGAAATAAAATTACTTTATAAACTTATTATTATCATATTTATTTTCTACAGTGTACATGGTCTACTTGTACCTATATTATTAATTTAAAATAAAAATAAAAAAATAAAAACCATAGCGCACATCATACATGGCTTAAGTAAGTATTACAAATAATAATAAAAATAATAATTGAACAGATCAAATAAATGCATAGTCGGGAATAACAATAACCGGTTCGTACAGAGATAAGCCACTATTGCCGCGCGCACCACCGTTACCGATAGCGTGTTCTTTTGCGTGCGTGCGTCGGGTAACACAGAAGCACCTAACAAACAAAATATACTTCAAAACTTAGATCTCTCTCAAGTCATTCAATAATCAAAATATTTTTGATCTGAAAAATGACATTGATTCAACATAAAAATATCTGTATACTGTCGTTGAGTTATTTCTCGAATTTTGATTATTAAAACAAATAATCGATAAAAATAATTTTACGAAAAAAGGTAAACTTTGAACCCTAGTAACTTTAAAAAAAAACATATATTTAAAAATCGGCCAACGACAGTATATCAGACAACATGTCTAGATTATATATTCTAAGTAATAGACTCCTAAGTACAAAATCCAGACCAATGAGAAGGATCTCAAAATGCAAACTTTCGGCATTAAAACAGCTTTTACTGGTTAAAAAAGCGACAAAAATGTTTTTAAATATTTTTTTGATTAATCATAAACCTAGTAATAACTGTAGGTATACTTAATTAATTGATTTAACAAGAAAAAAATGATGAGATATTCCCCCTTAAGAAATGCAGGTTTGATGAAGCTTTACTTTTTATATTTTTTATGTGATAATTGAAAGTAAGTTTTGTGTCAAAAGTAACACCTGGGTCTTTTACAATAGTTAGTCTAGGAATAAGACAATTATTGATGGTATAACTATGCAGTATGGGCGATTTTTTTAAAGTAAAGGATAATATTGAACATTTGTCTATATTTAGAGCCATACCATTTTTATTACACCATTCGACGAAATTGTGAATATCAGACTGGAAGCATGTGGCATCAAATTCTGATTTAATAGGCATAAATAATTTTGCATCGTCTGCTAAGAGCAATATTTTTCAGTATTTTAAGCTAAAGACCACATCATTAATAAATAAAAGGAACAGAAAAGGTGATAAATGGTCACCTTGAGGGACGCCAGAGGTTACCTTAATTTTGTCGGAGTGAAAACTTTTATATTTTATGATCTGGATCCTATTAGTTAAAAATGATTCCAACCATGATAATAAAGCATCTAAGATACCAATTATTTCTAACTTTTTTATAAGTAAAGAATGGTCTATTTTATCGAAGGCTTTTTCAAAATCTGTGTAGACAGCATCAAGTTGAGAATTAGATGAAAAAGAATCCATAATAGATTGCTTAAAAACTGTGAGATTGGTGACAGTAGATTTCCCATTTCGAAATCCATGTTGTTCGTCCACAAGAACATTTTTAAGTTATCGTATGAAAGAATTTTTCATGATGGACCTTCCGTTAATATATTGTTTGGCCAAAAAAAACTTCGTAGTTAATTTGAATTCACATATCATTGCCATTCAAACACCACAACTGGCTCGATGCAGACATGTGTATTTTACGATTTTTTTTATTTATTAGTTAACACCAGTGAGCAGTATGTTAGCTTATTTTATAAACATAAAACATGTCTCAAAATTTTTAAATTTGCGAAACAGTGTTCGTTCCATCGTTACCAGAAAGACAACGTTACCTCCTGTCGTAGGGCCCTGCACAAAATATGAAAAACCAGAGGAAAGATATACTTGCACAGGAGCCGAAACTAATAGCCGTGGTATCGTGCTGGGCGTGTATGAGCCGCAAAAAGCCGCAAACAATTTTATACAGATAAACTTCACGCGTTCGTCCCAGGCATACAACACCGTCGTTTGCGGTAAACTCAGCGACCAGTTGAAACGCAACAAAATCCCGGTTTTGGGCGAAGCTGCGATATACAACGACTTGGACGTTTCGGCTGCGCTCGTAGCTCTAGTGGGCCTCGGCAGCGAGCACGCAGGCTACGATTTAGTCAGGAAGTACTGTCGAAAAAAGGAGAACACCAGGATTGCCGCGGGCGTCGGAACCAAAGAATTGCAAGACCGGGGCATTTCGCAGGTATTCATTGAGGAGATGGACGATTTTCAGTCGGCGTTCGAAGGCGCGATACTTGCCAGCTATAACAATGATGAGCAGAAGAAGGATTGCGATAAAGAAATACCGCACTTTTCAACCGCCGGCTTCGCAACGTGCTATCTAGACGATAAAAGGTAAAAAACAGCGAACAAACCCTCGCTCGCGTAAATAGTAACGTAGAGACGTTTTTCCAGTTCTATATGCTTAGGAGACATGGACAACCTGCAAAAAGACAAAGCCACGCTGGGTATGCTCTACGCAGAAACGCAAAATTTCGTTAGACGACTGATGACTGTGCCCACCAACGTGATGAATCCGGAGTACTTCGTACACGAAGCAATAAAAGTCCAGAACAAGGTCAAGGCCATCTCGGTGACGACACTCCCGGAAAAAACGCTCACAGAATTGAACATGAACGGCATCTTGGCACTATGTGCTGGGTCCTGTCAGCCAGCTAAATTCTTAGACATCAGCTACAACGGGTGCGCCTGCACCGAGACACCGCCTGTCGTACTGGTCGGTCAAGGCGTAACTTACGCAAGTGACGATTGCCATGCGGCACGCAATCCCCAGCTTCGAGGTCAGACCCACATTGGTGGCGGAGCAATTGTTCTAAGTGTTATAAAAACTCTGGCGGAAATGGGAGCGCCAATCAACGTCAGAGGTCTGATACCGCTTTTCGAAATCACCAACGGTATCTGCCCGGGAGATGTAATCGTCAGTGCTGACAAGACTTCCATAGAGGTGACCTTGCCTAAGCGTTTTAACACATTGGCCCTGATGGATGCCTTGCAATTCGCCCGTACGCTTAAACCTCATTCCATCGTCAGTCTGGCTAACACGCCCGGGGTAGGTCCAATGGAATACGGGTCGAGAGCCACACAGGTCTGGTGCAACGACGAAGCTATTTGGGAGACTTTCAAGTCATCCAGCGCCCACACCGGAGACATAGTGCATAGATACCCTTTGGATAGCCAGTACGACCCTTATATACAAGGACAGTGCGAGAATCGTTGGAAGAACGCGTCTGACATTGACCCTCTGTGCACCGATGCTAGAATTTTGTCTAAATTCGTCGGCTACGAGATACCGTGGATCCACATGGAACTTCAGTACGTTAACTACGAGCCGCACAGAATTCCGTACTTGCGTCAGAACACCATACCGGGCCGCCCCACTAGAACAGTTCTCGAAGGGCTTTTGGAGATGATACGGGAAACCCGTCAACAATAATTCCGGAATATTTACACTACAATACAGATATAGCAAATGTGTCCGAATTGGTTATTTGTAAAATTATCGTAAAATGTTTATGAGCAAACTTATGTACATAAGTGTTAGTTTTGTGCTTCGTTTAAGTGTATTAGATCTTTAATAAACTATTAACCTAACCTTTGGCTTGAACCACTTAACTGTGTGTTGTCATCCTGCAACTTTTTTTTTTTTTGCAGGGCTCTGTGTAATGTAACTAATTTTTATCTGATAATATCAATTTATAATTCTCTATTATAAAAAAAAAAAAAAAACTTGGTAACTGTCAGCTAAGCAAAGATTTCAATAACGCATATTATGATATTTGATTTAAATATCACACAAAGATGTCTCAAATTATATCTATCTTAATAAAAAAAATATGGGAAAAACATGTACCCAATGAACTTTTTTTTCTATGTCTATATATTTATTATTGACATTTTTATGTCTTTGTTATGGGACACACACGGTTTGGGGTGGGGGTGGTTATAAGAATAAGGGTAGGAATGTGTTTGGGGGTGGTTTTATGGATGAGGTTGGGATTGGGAGTGAGGATGAGGATGGGGAAAAAAAGTTTTTCAGCCGAGTCTGGAACCACGAAAGAGCATTTACTTGTCTCGTTGAAGTACCGAGATAAATTTAGAGTAGTGGTGGAATTATAAATAATGATATAGTATATTAAGAAGCAGTAACCAGCTAGTATATTAAAACATAAGGTTTCTGGCTAATATTGTAGTGTTTAATATTTGGCTTAAAATAATTCATAGAGGATTTGGGCCCTTAAACTGTTTTGAATTTATTATTTAGTACTAATTTGAACGTTGAACGTAAAACATATCTCTTATCTCTTATCTCCTATATATTACCCCTATCCCCTACCCCCTATTGACATTTGCATGTCTTAGCTCTGGCACATAACCGAAAAAATTATAACGAAAAAAGAAATAGGAATGAAGATGAGGTTTGGGGTGGGAATAGGGTTGAGGGTGAGAATTAGCTCTGGCACATAACCGAAAAATTATAACGAAAAACATAAATCAGCCATTTTTTAGCCGAGTCTGCAATCACAATAGACCATTTTCATGTCTCATTGAAGTACCGAATAAATTGAGATTAGTTGTCGAATTATAATTTAAAAAAAAAATTACACGGAGCTTCCAGTTACAGCATAAGCCAAGGAGATTAAAAAATTATGTACAATCATGTTTCTGGCTAAAATTGTAGTGTTTATTATCTGATTAAAAGTAAATTAACATAGTGAATTAAACTATTTTGAATTTATTATTTAGCTCTAATTTGAACGTTGAACGTACAACATACCTCTCATCTCATATCAGATAACAGCGTAACAGATTAACATTCGAAATGGATCCGAAATGGTCATTCCGATAATTGTCTTTCGTCGGCGCTTCGTAGTAAACATAACGAATGACTTTTGGTACCTTGCGGCGAGAAACAGAGTAACGCTTTTTTTGGTAACGTTTTTTTTCGGTTATGTACCGGCTAATTCTCACCCCTGTCTCCTACCTCCTATCTCCCACCCCTATCTCCCGTCCCCAACCCCATCTCCGTGTGGTAACGCTTTTTGACATTTTCATGTATTAGCTCTAGCACATAACCCTGGCAAATATCCGAAAAAAGCGTTACCAAAAGAGCGTAACGAAAAAGGCGTGACAAAAAAAGCGTAACCAAAAGTTTTTCAGCTGAGTCTGGAACCATGAAAGAGCATTTTCATGTCCCGTTGAAGTAGCTGGTAGTTTTATATTTTTCTAATTATCAAATCAAAAATTAAATATTTACAATATACATCGAAACCACCAATGTCCACTAGCTGCCACGAAAAATTAAAATGTTGTATATCATAAATTTATTATTATTGAAATCATCTAAACATAGGCATTATTAAGTAATTGGTGTGTAATTTTGGAAAATGTGGGTACGTGTGTTGGCTGAGATATGACAATATAAATTAGCAATGTATGAACAATTATTTGACGAATAAATATCACTAAATAGTATAACAAGTGTTGTAAAGTATACATTTTCGGTGCAACAGAATTTGTATGTACCTACGGATTGTGATTTATTTATTTTGACATTTTCATGTCTTAGCTCTGGCACATAACCGAAAAAAGCGTTACCAAAAGATCGTAACGAAAAAAGCGTTACCAAAACGTTTTTCAGCCGAGTCTGCAACCAGGAAAGAACATTTTCATGTCCCGTTGAAGTACCGAATAAATATAGATTAGTTGTGGGATTATAATTAAAAAAAAAAAAATTATGTGGAGCTTCCAGTTACAGCATAAGCCAAGGAGATTAAAAAATGAAGTACAATCATGTTTCTGGCTAAAATTGTAGTGTTTATTATCTGGCCAAAAGTAACTTAACATAGTTTAATATTAGAGAATTAAACTGTTTTGAATTTATTATTTAGTTCTAATTTGAAAGTTGAACGTACATCATATCTCTTATCTCCTATATCTTACCCCTATCACTCACCCCTATCTCTTGTCCCTAACCCCAACTCTATCCTACCCCCACCCCTTATCTCCTACCCCTATTTCCACCCCCACCCCTTATCTCCTACCTCTATTTCCACCTCCAACCCATCTTTGTGTGGTGACGCTCTTTTGGTAACCCTTTTTTTCGGTTATTTGCCATAGCTAATTCCACCCCTTACCCATACCCACCTCATTTTCAACCCTTTCGCTTTTTTCGTTACGCTCTTTTGGTAACGCTCTTTTGGTAACGCTTTTATGGTAACGCTTTTTTCGGTTATGTGCCAGAGCTAAGACATGAAAATGTCAAAAAAAAAAATTACATGGAGCTTCCAGTTACAGCATAAGGTCAAGTAGATTAAAAAATTATGTACAATCAAGTTTCTGGCTAAAATTGTAGTGTTTATTATCTGGCTTAAAACAATTCATAGAGAAATTGGGCCCTCAAACTGTTTTGAATTTATTATTTAGATCTAATATGATTAACATTCGAAATAGATCCGAAATGGTCATTCCGATAATTGTCTTTCGTCATCGCTTCGTAGTTTTTGTTACATTGCGGCGCGTAACAGCGTAACGCTTTTTTGGTAACATTTTTTTTCGGTTATTTACCGGCTAAATCTCACCCTTATCTCCTACCCTTTATTCCACCCCTATCTCCCGTCCCCAACCCTTTCGCTTTTTTCGTTACGCTCTTTTGTTAACGCTTTTATGGTAACGCTTTTTTCGGATATTTGCCAGGGTTATGTGCCAGAGCTAAGACATGAAAATGTCAAAAGGTGTAACGAAAAAAGCGAAAGGGTTAGGGACGGGAGATAGGGGTTGAATAGGGGGTTGGAGATAAGGGTGAGATTTAGCCGGTAAATAACCGAAAAAAAGTGTTACCAAAAAAGCGTTACGCTGTTACGCGCCGCAATGTAACAAAAACTACGAAGCGACGACGAAAGACAATTATCGGAATGACCATTTCGGATCTATTTCGAATGTTAATCTGTTACGCTGTTATCTGATTTGAGATAAGAGATATGTTGTACGTTCAACGTTCAAATTAGAACTAAATAATAAAATCAAAACAGTTATAAATTGTTTTAAGCCAGATAATAAACACTAAAATTTTAGCCAGAAACATGATTGTACATGTACAAACATGTTAATACAATTATTTGGCTTCGAGATTTTTACAACTGAAGAAACGAACGATAATAACATTACTTATTAAATCTTATACCATTTGGTCCATTTAAATAGGACGGTGGTCTGATCAGAGGCTGTATGGCGAATAATTATAATAACAATACAATGTCTATTGACTAACTTGACACTTTTCTGGTACTTACGACCAAGCTTCAAATCCACATTGATTCCCATTTACTTAAATGTACTTAATTGTACTTAACGTCGATTTGTTAGCTTGTGTTGCGTTCTTACAACGGTTGTATATTTTTCAAGAACGCTTGTTTTTTATTGGCGAAAGTATTATTCAAGCAAATTAATAAGAGCGTATCGGACGGTATATCTTTGAACATACCAGACCAATTTAGTGCGGTTTTATTTTGCATTTATAATATATTAAAAAATTTACATAATACAATATGTTAAATTTGTCGTATTTTTACTTGTGCCAATAATGAAATTTAACCACAAATAATTGTTTTAAATCCAGAGAACTCCGTTGTCCTATCTACTACTTGGCGAAACCATAGCCAAGACCACGGGACAGCCTCCAGTGAATGGCCCCATAAGTTCTTCGCCTTATAAGGCTCCTATAAAACTGTAATATGTGTAATTGATAATTAATAAAATAAGACAAAATGTAATAATTTGATATAAGTTTCATACAAAAAATGTGAAATTTAAAAAAATAAAATATATATTATGTTACATTAAATTACATTAATACTAATAAAACCACAATGATGGATTTGTTTAGGAATTTGTTGTTTTCGCGAGACAAATAAATTTTAAAATAAAACGATTTTCCTCGTTTCCCTGAATAAGTTCCTACTTATGTTCAACTTATTTCAGTGTTTTTTTGTTTTGTTTCAGCAAGTACCAGTAGTGTCACCGTCCGGTCAATATACCACGATTTTAAAAACACATTTACTACACATAATTATTATTTTTGCATGAAATATTGTTATTGTAATTTTATATTGTTTTTGTAATAATTTCTATTATCTACCTTTATGATATTAAAAATGTAATTATGGTTAAGTATATCATTTTTGATTTTATTGTAATTATAAAAATAAAAAGGAAAGAGGTGTTACGTATCAGCAGTTTATATAAATACATATGGTGGAATTGTCTACCATACACGAGTGCTACATCGGCACAACTTGTCACTCGTGTAATTTGGGTTTCATAATAAGCATCAGCAAATATTATTATTTACATTAATCTAATTGTGTTTTACTTTCAAACTAAGGTATAACATTCAACAACTTATTTCAGTGTTTTTTTGTTTTGTTTCGGCAAGTA